AATCAAAAGTTGAGAGATTTGGCAAAAAAAAAATGAATTTAGTGCATAACTGGCCATATAACTGATATAGGGGTATTTTTTAAAAACCCAAAATATGAGACGTGAACACGCAGAGAAGACTTCTCTTCATAATAGTACTACATATATATACACCTTTATTCAGTATTTCACTTGGTAATATCTGTTGGAACAATCTTTTGTGTAAAATAAAATAACTTGAAAATAAATTCAAACAAAATAAATAAATAACATACCAGATTTATTTATCGAACCCAAATAAAATTAAGACCAAGTCGAGTGTGTGACACTCTGTCCTTAAGACAGATTCGCTCCGCTACGGTGCTTACGGTTGAATGGCGTCTATCTCCCAGGATACAATGATCTTCACAAATTTATAAAAGCACTTCAAATAAATTTGTTCGGCGAACCAAACCTATGTTCTAACTCTCTGAAAAATTTATTCTAAAACTAGAATGAAGAAATAATGCAAAAGGAAAATAAGAACTGCAAAGAGACGAAAATCAAACAGATTTTTTCGGATCAAAAAAATATGTGTTCTAAGACTGCTGGAATAGAAAGTATTTATAGACACAAAGACACAGCCCGAACAAGTGCTTTCCGAAGTGAACAGGTGCAACACTTTGGACAGATTCAGACCGTTACCCAACAACACTACAATTTCAAATATTTGAAAAGATGTTCCGTTGGTCCAACACACCAACTGTTTGGCACTTTATGTAATAACTATTTTAAATATATAAATATAAATATATATATATATTAAATATATATATATATATTAAACTAAAGAACATATATATATATATATATTAAACAAATTGAATAGTTTAATAAATAAAGTAAGAGGTACAAATTTTAGGAAATCAGTTAGGAACCCAAAAATTTGAATTTAGAATTAAATTAAATTCTAAAATTACAAACTTTAAGAAACCACGTAGGAATCCAAAATTTGAATTTAGAATTAAATTAAATTCCCACAATAA